GGTAACTCACTGCGAGGGCCAAGTGCAGGCCCTCCCCTCCGTCCCTGCTGCGACGGAGGAGCACCGGCTTCTGCCGCGCCGCGTCTCGGCGGGCCGGTTCTACGATTACCTCGCCGAGGTTGGAATAAACTTTGGCCCGCACTTCAAGCGACTCGACAACGCATCATCTGCTGTCGATGAGATCCGCGCGACGGCGGATGTGAGCGGGATGAATGAGGAGCAGAACATCCCGTACCTACTCCACCCCGCCGTCATCGACTCATGCTTCCAGCTCTCGATCCTAGCGGGAGCTCAAGGCCTTGGCCGAAACCTTACGCAGCTACGCGTCCCGACCCTCATTGACAGAATGGACATCTTCCCCGGCGGCCAAAACATGACTGCCACTGCATCCTCTCGCGGAGAAAACGGCACCGAGACCGTCGAGTGCACTGCCGACGGCAAAACAGTCCTAAAACTCTTCGGCTTCCACACGACACCCATCGATGACGGTCTAGATCCCGAATTCGACACATACGCCGCCGCGAGACTGGAGTGGCTCCCGGACTTCGACTTCGTTGACCCCGCTCCGCTATTTAAGCCGGCAAACGTCGACCGGGCGGAGTTGCATCTCATAGAGGAGCTCACCCTCCTGTGCATGCTTGACACTAGCGAGAGAATCGAGGGCCTCGAGCCATGCCAGCCTCACTTCAAGAAGTTCCGCGAGTGGCTCAAGATAGAAATCAACGCGTCCGCCGAGGGCCAGAACAGGCTTGTGGCCGACTCACCCACGTACATGAGCCTATCAAAGGAGGACCGGCACGTGCGAATTGGCGAGCTGTACGAGAAACTCATGACTATGGAAAAGATCGGGCTCACGCAGGGGCTCAGGCGTATCCTAGACAACTGCGAGGGTATCTTCACGGGGACCACGGAGACTATCGACATCCTGATGCAGGACGGCGTACTGGCGGACCTATACAACGTCGTCAGCTTCGGGTACAGCGACTTCGTGCGCCTTCTATCTAGCACCAAGCCGACGCTGCGCATCCTCGAGGTCGGCGCGGGGACAGGCGGTACGACGGAGCTTATCCTCCGCGACCTCGTGCACGAGGGCGGGCTTCCGCGGTACTCTACGTACACCTTTACCGACATCTCGGCCGGGTTCTTCCCGCAGGCGAAGGAGCGTTTCGACTACGCCGCTAACATGGAGTACAAGGTCTTCGATATCTCCAAAGACCCCATTGAGCAGGACTTCCAAGAATCGTCGTACGACCTAATCATCGCTGCCAACGTTGTGCACGCCACACCCTCGCTGAAGGGGAGCCTGTCAAACCTCAACAAGCTCTTGAAACCACAGGGAATTCTAGTCCTTACCGAGGTATGCACGGAGCTACGTTCACCGACCTACATATTCGGTAACTTCGACGGGTGGTGGATGGGAGAGAATGACGGGCGCGAGTACCTCCCTTACGTCCCTGTCTCCCGGTGGGACGAGGAGCTCAAAGCCTCCGGGTTCACGGGTGTGGACACGGACGTGTACGATGAGGTAGCACCGTATACGTGCTGCACGACAATCATGTCCCGGCGCGTCTCGGAGGTTCCGGCGCCCAGCGACGCTATCTCGCTTATATCCTCAACCCCGGAAACGGGCGTCGCCAAGACGATAAAAGACGCGCTTCAGGCCCAGGGGCTGAATGTCACGGATGTGAAGATGAGCGAGGATATCCCTGCGGAGGGGGACATCGTCTGCTGTGTGGACCTCGAGGGGAACTTCTTCGAAGACATCTCCGAGGCGGACTTCGCAGCGTTCCAGAACCTGATCCAGGGTCTCAAGACACAGAAGACGCTGTGGCTCACCAAACCAACTCAAATCAACTGCGTTGATCCCCGCGCGGCGGGAACCATCGGCGTCGCGAGGACGCTCCGCTCCGAGCGCGAGGTGCCGTTCCACACGCTTGAGATCTCCCCCGACGAGCCGGACTTTTCCGCGCTGGTCCTCAAGGTCTTCGGGAAGATCCGCAGGGAGGAAGACGACGACAACCTCGCGACGGACAAGGAGTTCGCGGTATGTGACGGCGTAATCAGCATTAGCCGGTACCACCCCTTCTCCCTGAAGAGCGAGATCTCGGAGCGCAGCCTCGAGGGTGCGGAGACGATCACCGCGCTCGAGATCGGAAAGCCGGGGCTCATCGAGTCGCTATACTGGGAGGAGCGTGCCGTCGAAGGGGACCTGGCGGAGAATAGCGTGGAGATCGAGTGTAGGGCTGTCGGTCTGAACTTCCGCGACGTGTTGATCTCCATGGGCATCGTGCCCAAGTCCACCGAGCACGCCGAGCTTGGTATCGAGGTCGCGGGTGTGATCCGCCGCGTCGGGTCCCAGGTCGAGGGTCTCCGCGTGGGAGACCGCGTCTTTGCCATCACGCCCAACGGGTCTCTAATGTCGCGCACGACCGTCGTGGCGGCGCTGGTGAAGAGGATACCCGACAGCCTCAGCTTCGAGAAGGCGGCGACGATCCCCGTCGTGTTCGCCACGGCGCTCCAGGGCCTCCTGAACATGGGACGTCTGGAGAAGGGGCAGACGGTGCTGATCCACTCCGCGTGCGGAGGCGTTGGCATGGCGGCGATTCAGATCGCGAAGATGGTGGGCGCCGAGATATATGCCAGCGTCGGGAGCGAGGAGAAGATCCGATACCTCACGGAGAAGTTTGGGATCCCGCGGGATCACATCTTCAACTCGCGCGACGACTCATTCTACGACGGCGTCATGAGGGCGACGGGGCACAGGGGTGTCGACCTCGTACTGAACTCGCTCTCGGGAAGCCTGCTCCACGCGTCGTGGAAGTGCGTCGCGCCGTTCGGGATGATGGTGGAGATTGGGAAGCGGGATCTCCTGGGCCACGGGAAGCTGGATTTAAATCCGTTCCTGGCGAACAGGACTTACTACTGCTTCGACGGGATGGAGGTTGCGTGGCAGCGGCCGGAGATGATGGGAAGGTATGTTCTTCTTTCTTTACCACCTGTTCCACCCTCACCCTTGTTTTCCTTCCTTTTTTGTTTCTTTCCTTTTCCATGCTTCACGGTTTCGTCCTACCCCATCTCTTGTAAAATACTTTGCAGAGCCCAGGACCTCGGCTAACCCCATCCTAGACTCCTCGAAAAGTTCCTCACCCTCTACGAAGTCGGGCTCCTCCAACCACTCCCCGAGGTCAAGTACTTCCCTGCCCCCGAGTCTGAAGCCGCATTCAGATTCCTCCAGGGCGGCAGCCATATCGGCAAAGTAGTGGTCACCCTCCCCGGCCCGGACTCCCAACAGCCCATTCAGAGCATCCCGGCGGCGCGCCACACGAGGTTTGACCCGCAGGCCAGCTACATTCTCACCGGTGGTCTCGGGGGCCTGGGTCGCGCGACGGCGACATGGCTTGTCGAGAGGGGAGCCAGGTCGCTTACCTTCCTGTCGAGGAGTGCGGCGAGCGGGGATAATGCCGTTTTCGTGGCGGAGCTAGAAGCGATGGGGTGTGAGGTCGTGGTTGTGTCCGGGTCTGCGGATAAGCTCGAGGATGTGGAGCGTGCTGTGAAAGAGTGCCCGCGTCCGATTAAGGGGGTGTTCCACATGGCCATGGTTCTAGAGGTAAGTTGGGTCACCCGTCCTTTTACTTTCCTTTCCTCCACCTACTGCTCTTATTCTTCACCCCTTTTAAGAGCTACGGAACTAACGTATTCTAGGACGCTCCCCTTATTGAAATGACCTTCTCCCAGTGGCACGCGGCCGTCAAGCCGAAGGTAGATGGCGCATGGAACCTCCACACCGCGCTCCTCCCCCACACACTGGACTTCTTCTTCCTCGCCAGCTCCGTCGTAACCACAACCCACCAGCCTGGCCAGGGCAACTACGGCGCAGGAAACACCTTCCTCGAGGCCCTCTGCCAGTACCGTCTCGGCCTCGGCCTCCCCGCCTCGGTCCTGGGCATCTGCCCGATCCGTGGGGTAGGCTTCGTGGCCGACAGCCCCGCGGCGCAACGCAATATGCGTGCGCAGGGAATCTACGACCTCGGGGAGCAGGCATTCCTGGAATACCTCGGGCACTCGCTCCTCCTCAACGGGACGAGGACGGCCAGCGCGGGCCCGGCGGCGGCGCCGCCCCGGGCGTGGAAGAACGAGGCGCAGGTCGTGATGGGGTTGCACTCGGAGAAGGACCTCGAGGACGCGGACAACCCGACGAACTGGAGGCGGGACAGGAGAATGGGGAGCTACCACAACGTGCACCGGAGCTCGGGGGCCGTGACGTCGTCGGACTCCTCGGGGCTCAAGAGCTTCCTCGCCAGCGCGGCGGAGGACCCGGATATCCTGGACTCGGAGGCCGGGGTGGAGTTCTTGGCGGGAGAGATCGGGAGGAAGGTGTATAGCATCATGCTGAGGGAGGGGGACATCGATACGGGCATCAGCCTGGCGGCCCTGGGCGTGGACTCGCTCATGGCGACGGAGCTCAGGAGGTGGTTCAGGCAGGTGTTTGGGCTGAAGGTGGGCGTGCTGGAGGTGCTTGGGGCTGGGTCGCTGCTGCAGCTCGGGAGGGTTGTTGGGGAGGGCATTAAGGGAAAGACAGAGCCATAGTAGGGGGGGGTTACGAGGGGTATAAGTGAGTGTGAGCTTGAGCTTGCCGGACGGATGGTTGTTTTTGACGAGGTGTTTACGAGGATGAGCACGACGACATGAGCATGATGAGGATGCACGACCGACCACGACCACGAGACGAATTTCTTTTGAATTTCCTTTGTCTGGATGGGATTTCAGTCTTTTTTCCCCTTTCCCTTCCTTTCCTTTCTCCATTTTCTTCATAATAGTCCCGCTTCTGTTTTTTTTTTTTTTTTTTTTCCTTTTCTTCCTTGGACACGACCAACTCTAGGTCCCACGAGCACGATGCGATAAACAGAATGGAATAATGTTTTGTAGTTTCGATCTGATACGTTTATAATGGTTTATTAGGACACGAAAATACTAGTTTGATATAGCACTAGTTATACCTCAGCATTGTAGCTCAGAGGTAGAGCACTGGGCTCATAACCCAGGGGTCCTAGGATCGACACCTAGCAATGCTACTCGTGCATAATAACGTTTTTTTTTTTTTACCTTTCTCTCTCCTTTTGAAGAGGAAAAACATTGCAAGAAAAAGAAAGTGGACCCGCGTGCAGTATGAGCGGGGGAAACTTGGTTTGTATCTCCACTATTACAACATACTCGCATTAGTTACCACAGGTTCGGTAATAGAAATCATGTTTTACTCTCCACGGCGTCATTGTTCCGGTTTTTATTTCATTATCGGGGTGGTGTTAGCAACCGAGGCCCTCGACGACTGCAAGTAGACAAGGAGAGTTTTGAGTTTATTGGCGGGACGACGAATGACGGCGGCTGGGATTAGATTAGACAAACGCCCATATTCGAAGTTGGAGCTACGATATTCTACAGTACTAGGCCATCCGTACCCGCCCGCTCAAACACCCGAAGCTCGCCCGCCGATCACCGAGCTCTGAACCGAACTAAAACATGCACCCACTGCCGTCCCGGCTAGTTCTCGCGAGTGGAGTTCGCGCGAACGCGAGCATGCGGAGAAATGGGGTAATATTAGGCAGGTCTAAGCTACTTCGGGATAGATAGAACGTGACTGGTCCCTTGTCATGGCTTCGCGCGGAAAGCTGTTATCGGACGGTTCCTGAGTTTTTCTGGAGAAGACGAAGGGGGAAGCGAGCAGGAAATCGCCGCATGACTGACTCCCCAATCTGGCTGGTGTGGGCATCGCATGAACCTGAGAAATTTGCAGATGGTGCTCCCTCTCCCTCGGGTGGTTCCTTCCCTGTCTTGTTGTAGATCTTTGTTTACTTGTACTTTGTACAGTTTCGCGGTTTTTTTTTCGGGCGTCCGAGAGCGGGCGCCTCTATTATTAGTTTACCACACGTTTTGATAAATGGAGGGCTCTCTTTGTTTACCCGTGCTCGTGTCTTCGTGCCTGGTCTGATCTGGTACAGTCACTTCCACTTTCTGGTGTGGCATGGCCTCTCGTTTCCGGGTCAGTCGGCGTTCCCGGGTGACAGTCGCGTGCGGTGCAACCATCCTCCTGGCCGAAACCGATGACCTCAGGGGGAGAAAGGGGTGCACTGGAATAGAACGGGGTTTCTGCTTGGACATGGTCATGATACTAATAATGCTTGGCTGGTGATGGCGATGGGGATGCGTGAGGCATGTTCTCTGGCAAGGGAGAGTATTGGTACTTCGCTGCGCCTTGCCATCTTGTAGGTACATGTTGTAATACCGATGACAGCTGATAGTCCGCTCCTCCCTCCATCACCGGCTTTGATCGATCCATGACGCTCGTACTCGAATGAATGCCCTAAAGTGGGCACTGTTAGGACCAAACAGTGGGCGGAGGCACTGTATTCATTCATTGCTCTAGAGGTAGAAACCAGAAGATTAGCACCTGAACGGCGCAGCTCACACGGCCCTGGCCCGGACCTGTCAGAAGTTTCCCCCACGGCACCTCGGACTTAATGCGGGAAAGGAGTGTGACAAAATTTTCGCACTCCCCATTTCAACGCGCCACACCCGCACCAGCCGATGGACCGAGCTCCACCTCCCTCCCTCCTTGCCCCCAAACACCAAATCAAACGCAGGCCATTTTTTTTTATCACCCGAGAGGAGCGTCATATTCCATTCCATCACGGCCACCGTCCCTCTTTCAACCTCCCCACCCGCTCCCATCGCTCGGGATCCCTTGCGCATCCATCTTTTTTTGTTTCCTTTTAATACCGGGAATTAAGCTTCCCGTCGAATCCCTCGAGCTATCTAATACTCTCGCAAACTAATCATCCCACCTCCGACCGGTCGACCCAGCTCGAAGCCGAAACCCGAAGCGACCGCCGCCGAACAAAGCAGAGCAGTCAAGAGGCAAGAGAGCCATCGCGAGAGCGACCTCTTTGTCCGCGAATCCTCGACCAAAAATCCCAGTCTCCCCGGAGCGACGCAGATCCTCCTCGGCCCGCCCTGTACTCGATGGTCGCGCCGCTATAGCGCCATTTCAAGATGGCCTTCAACTTCAACTGGTCGCCGCTCACCGCGGACGAGCACTTCTACAACCGCGCCAAGGACCTGCTCACGAGGGCTCTTAACAAGTCGCCGAAGCCGCCCATCATCGTCGATGACATCCTCGTATCCGACTTCAACCTGGGCTCCGTGCCGCCCGACCTCGAGATCCTCGAGATCGGTGACCTTGCCGAGGATAGGTTCCGCGGCATTTTCAAGATGTGCTACTCGGGGGATGCGTCCGTGACGTTGAAGACCCGCGTTCAGGTATGGGAATGTCGTTTTTTTTCTTTGATCATCCGTTGCTCGAATAACGCCTGGCCCGTGGATATTGCGCCGTGCGATAATTTCGCACTTTCCACGGGTGTGATCGTGATGCTTCAATTGCCTCTCGTCGCATCACGCGACCCGACACTGAATAGCTTCTACCATTCATTCGCGCTTGCACCATCCCCCTCCCCCCTTCTCCTAACCCCTTTGCTCGATCGTGTTTCGCTCCATTGTTTCCGATCTCCACAATGGCCCCCTCTTCGCCCCTGGGCATTGTCGCATTGATTTCCAAATTACTGGACCCACCACCAGGATACGCGCTTCGCGACCTGGTTGCGCGCGCAATACCAGTCAGTGGCTAATATCAACAACCATCAAAACAGGCAAATCCAATGAATACATACCTCAACTCGACGCCCTCGTTTACGTCACCCCAACCACTGGCTGCGTCCGACGGCTTGACAATACCCCTCTCAATCACGTTATCGCATATCAGGCTATCGGCCTTCATCATCGTCGTCTATTCGAAGCACAAGGGTGTGACTATAGTCTTCCGCAATGACCCTATCGAATCGCTCAAGGTCTCGTCGACCTTCGACTCCATTCAGTTTGTGCGTGACTACCTACAGAGGACAATCGAGACCCAGCTGCGAAACCTTATGATGGACGAGCTTCCGAGCATCATCCACCGCTTCTCACTCGAGGTCCTCTGTCATCAGCGACTTCCGCGAGCCGAGATGGAAGACGGGGAGGGTGTTATTGATCCCTTGGCGAGCCCGCCGCTGGACCCCGTCGATTCCAGTGGCAACCTACTCGACCCGAGTGAGATCTCTCCGCTCTCGCTTAGCGACGGCGAGGAGGTACAGTTCCAGTTCCGGTCACTGTTCTCCAACCTCAACCTGATGCGCCTCACTCAGGTCGCCGACTCGCACGGCTTCCTGTCGACCTTCTGCCCTGGCCTCAGGGATATCCAGCTCCGAGGTGCCGATTCGGATTCGTCCGACCACAGCGGAGCCTCGACCCCGCCCACCCCAAGCTTGGCGAAGACGTATTCTTTCAACGGGTCAGAGTCCACCTACACATTCTCTGACACGAGCAGCGCGAGCCACGGGCAGGTCCCTTCGAGACCGTCCCTTGCGAATCTCAACTCCGGCCTCGCGTTGGGGTCTGGCAGGTCCCACTCTTACACGGCACGCAAGAGGAAACACAGGGTAGTCAACCTCCGAAAGTCCAAGTCGGAAACCGTATCAGAGGTTTCTAGCGAGGCGGGAGATTCTACGACTGAGGGCGCCTCGGTTACCGCCCAGTCGATGCCCGAGCCCCTCACGAATATCACCATCCCTGAAGAATCGGAAGCGGAGGTTCCTGCCGCCGCGTCTACGAGGAGGACTCGATTCGACGTATCATCGGAGAGGAGGCCAAGTCGCACACCCCTGACTACCGATCTCTTCATGACCCCCACAAGTGGTCCCGCTCAAGTCACCACTACGCCCACGGCCCCGGTAGTAGAGGAGAAGGTGGCTACGAAGCAGACCTCTCAGACCACGCCCGTGATTGAATCTTCTCACCGCTCGGAAAAGAAGCACCAGCCACCTCAGAGGCCACCGCTCCCCCTCGACACCCCTTCAGCCGTCTTCGAGCAGGCCTGGATCATGAAGATGGCGGGCGAGATCGCCCGACGGGTCTACGACGAGAAGAACCGGCAACCTTCACTCTGGGATGAGAGGGAGGACGTCCCGCCGCCCTATGAAGCCTCCAGGTAGAGGTGACCTCTCTCCACTCAAAACCATCACACAACCCCCAGACATGGGTCTGGCTTTTTTTGCTTTTTTAGCATTTTGTACAAACTGTATTGTTTTTTTCTTTCGTTGCCCCGTTTGAGGGGGGGCCTTTGATATTCGTGCGTATTTCTTCGGCAAGGCGTTTGGTTGTTTTGGGGACCAGGGAGGGGCTCTTTTCTCCTGCTGCTAATAGGCATAACCCGCACCGGCGTTTTCGGAGATTTTTTTTTTCGGAGGTTTTGTTTTTTTTTTAAAGGGGGGGGGGAAGTTGATGACGAACGTCTTGATTGCGTGGGAGGGGGGTGGACGAGAGAAGAGAGCATGGCAGATGCGTACGGTTTTCGGGCTGTATCGATTTTCATCCTTCAGACACGACGATATCCTTCCCGTTCACACAGATGAGACGACGGGCACAATACCCCTTTTTTTCCTTTGTCTCTTCCCTTTGTTCTTTGTTTTCTTAGCCCTTTCCTTTGTCAACTCTGTTAGATTAGCTCTGTTCTGGGAGGGAAA